GTTGTGTGATTATTAAAATTTTCTGTTTTACCAAATATTTATCCCAAAAATTACATGATATAAAACACTTAAGACATTAATTAACATGGACAATGCACTTCAGGATATGAATATATCATTTATGGCTACGCAATGACACAGAAAGTCAAACACAGACACACAGCCGCACATTCATGTACATCTATTATAGACAATTACGCACACACACACACGCACATGCACGCACACAAATATGGACCGACGTTCTTATTACGTCGCATCAAATTCAGCTTTAAGAAAAAAATCTTATATCACCTAAAACGCTTTATTTATACATCTTGAACTTTCCCCTCGTTTCATGGTGTTTCAGAAAAAAATAAAACAATACATGAACGAGAAACGATTTCATCCAGGTACAAAATTAGGTACATCGAAAGGAATGGTACAAGAATGATCATTAAACCCCCCAAAACAACGAAAGTAGAACTGTACATAAAACGAATAATAATGACATGACACCCTAATCATTCTATCATTATCGAAAACAACGAATAAACAATAATATGACACACTTATCATTCTTCCAGAACCGTGAACAACGATAACAAGCCGTTCATTCTAAAACCGTCCCAACATCGTCCTCGCAACATGAACAAAGACGAAGCAAGTTGCAGAACGTAATCCGCCGTGAACACTGGACGACAGCTGTCTCGCGACCTTATCAATGACGGCTGCATGCAACGCGACGCCGGCTGGAGCCCTGCGTCACCGCCTGAACAACGCCCTCGAGCCGCACTGGACTAGAACTTGAAGAATTTGTACCATCGTGCTGAAGGAAAGGGAAGGGAGGGTGTGTGTGCATGAGTGCATACACTGGCATGCATACACGAACATATATATACATGTATATATATATATATATATATATATATATATATATATATATATATATAATATATATATATATATATATATACATACATAATACATATATATATATATTATATATATATATATATATATATATATATTATATATATATATATATATATTATATATATATATATATGAAAGGAAGGAATTTTATTTTATATCTATATATATGTATGTATATAAACACATACAGATATATATATGCATTATGTATGCATGTGCATTTATATATGTATACTCATTGCAGAGCAACTACAAGGGCTTTCCACTTCCCTTGCAACACACGAGCAAGGAAACCAATCACCCGCCCGGCTGCGCCCTCGCACCCCGGGCTTTCCCCCCACGCCCGCCTGCCACGACGGGCACTACAGCTCATATTCCTCCCCGGGCAAGTCCTAAACATGATCCTGGCACCGCCCCCGCCCGCGCTGCCTGCCTGCTTGCCTGCCTTGCCTGCCTGCTTGCCTGCTTGCCTGCCTGCTTGCTCGCTTCAGTCCCACGAGGAACTGCCGAATCTGCCGCCAGCTGCTCGTGGGGAAGAGGGCGCTGAGTCGCGGTGTCAGGGAGTGTGGGTATGGTTTGGTGTGTGCTGAGGGTGTCTGGGTGTGGGCGTGATGTTTCACTCAGAAAGCGACTGTGTTTGTGGGTGTTTGTATTTGTGTTTGCGTTTGTGTGTGTGTGCTTGGTATATATATGTGTATGTGTGGTATATATGTGTGTGTGTGTGTGGTATATATATGTGTATGTGTGGTATATATGTGTGTGTGTTTGTGTGGTATATATATGTGTATGTGTGGTATATATGTGTGTGTTATATATGTGTATGTGTGGTGATGATGGTTTCTGTGTCTGTATCTTTTGTTCTGCAGTGCCTTTGCGGGCTTCAGTGTGACCGGTGATGTGTGTCTATGCGTTACCCGCAATGTGAACCATATATATTTTTCTGAATATCCATTTCACTAAAGGAACTAAATCTAAAAGCCATATCCACACTCACAGAATTTGGCGATATACGTAACACTTTTATGACAATTTCCTTTTATCTATGTGCGTGTGCAGTGAAGAATAAAAACCCATATATTTTTCTACATGAATGTGACAACGAAGTTTCGCCTATTTCCTGAAAATGGATTGAGTATATTTTTTTCTTATGCATTTAATATGAACATTTCAGGTATATGTGTCGAAAAAAAAACTTTATCAAACATACAGTATCAAATATTCTTTGTGTATAGAAAATAATCGACCTTAATCCTATTCCGGTGTTTCAATTCATACAGTATAGTCAGTCATATAAATGATTAGCATAAAAATAGCATATGCGGTGTGTGAAAGTAATATAAGAGCAACAGCAACATATCCCAACTATAAACAGCTCTAACCCCAAGATTAAGGATAAGACTCTATCAAACAGGCTTTCACATCAGCTGTACTAAAAATATAAACCCATAATTGTATTACAAAATTCGCTACCTATTAAAACCATACTCTTTAAGTTTGTGTGTGTGCGTGTGTGTGGTGTGTGTGTGTGTGTGTGTGTGTGTGTGTGTGCGCGCGCGCGCGCACGCGTGTGTGTGGTTCTATACACACACACACACACACACACACACACACACACACACACACACACACACACACATATATATATATTATATATATATATATATATATATATATATATATATATATAACACATATACATATATACACATAATCCAAGCGACAGAAAAATGTATTGTAGCACGACCGCCATCCCTCACTCTAACGTGTGTCATGCTGTCACGGTCATGCGTCTCTGCCACGTCGGGACCCACATCGTAATCCTCATTATTAAGGGAACAAGAGAAGATGGATGGGGGTGGGAGGCCACGGGGGGGGCTACAGGGGGGGAAGAGGGAGGCTACAGGGGAAGGGTGGAGGGGGAGGCACAGGGGGGATGGGGGGGGGCCACGGGGGAAGGGAGGGAAGCCACAAGGGGGACGGGGGTGGGGGTCACAGGGGGGGGGGGGGGGGGAAGGTGGCTGGGGGAGGCACAGTGGGCGAGAGAGGGGGGTGAGGGAGGGGGGATAAGAAGGGGGAGGAGGAGCATCTGGGGGGGGGTCTGGGAGAGAGGGGGAAAGGGAGTAGGGAGAAGCCTGGGTTTGGGAGGGTATAGGGAAGGGGGGGGATAGGGGAGGGGAAGGCCGTTTTTAACTCAATCAGCTTCATCAACTGTGTGTGTGTGTGTGTCTGTTTCCGTGTCGTTGACAGAAAGGGAGAGAGCAGCAAAGGGAGGGATGACGAGAGAGAGAGAGAGAGCCAGACACAGAGAGAAACAGACAGACAGACAGGGAGACAGAACCAAACAGAAAACCCAGACAAACAAACAAACAAAAACAGGCAATGAAACAAGACGAGCAGACAGACAGACAAATAAAATAGCGAAGGAGTCTCTTCCATCTTATGCGCATGAAAGACACTTGCATCGTATCTTCCTCCCTGGAGTATTCTCCCTAAAAATCTTCCCCCTTAATTTTCTTCCTAAAATCTTTCCCCTTAATTTGCTTCCCCTTCTAAAAGATCTTTCCCCTTACCTTCTTCCCTAAAATATTCTCCCTAAAAATCTTTTCCCTTAACTTCTTCCCTAGAGTATTCTCCCTAAAGATCTTTTCCCTTAACTTCCTCCCTAAAATATTCACCCTAAAGATCTTTTCCCTTAACTTCTTCCCTAAAATATTCTCCCTAAAAATCTTTCCCTTTAATCTTCTTCCCTAAAATATTCTCCCTAAAGATCTTTCCGCTCAACTTCCCCCCAAAATATTCTCCCTAAAGATCTTCCCCCTTCCCCTAAAATATTCTCCCTAAAGATCTTTTCCCTTAACGATCTTTCCCTTAACTTCTTCCCTAAAATATTCTCCCTAAAGATCTTTTCGATCAACTTCCCCCAAAAATATTCTCCCTAAAGATCTTTTCCCTTAACTTCCTCCCTAAAAAGATCTTTCCCCTTAAGTTCTTCCCTAAAATAATCTCCCTAAAGATCTCTTCCCTTAAGCCCACCCAGACGCATTTCAACACTCGCTTCTGCCGCTGCAACAGATTCTTTTCATTTCCGCAAAATTATTCGCATGTAATACAGCCGAGAAAATGCCATTTCACCACCGAAGGAGAAATAAATGTTGAAGAGCATACGCAAAGACGTCAAAGGCAGCTCCTGACTAGAGATGAAAAGAAAGAAAGAAAAAGAAAGAAAGAAAGAAATGAAAGTCCATCATGAAGAGAAGGAAGATTAAAAAAATAAAAAGTCAAACTTTTCTAATATGGGAGATAAGATGCCACAGTTTCTTGGGGAAAGTCTTCCGGGTTCTTAAATGAGCAGTTACAATGGACATAACTGTCTGGGAAGAAGAAGAAAACGCATATTCATATGACACCTCCTCCTCCCCCTTTTTGTTCGTGTCATCCAAGGTCAGTTAGCAAGAGTTACATGTCTTCTTCTTCAAGTTATGACAACGATCGTGTATTATGAATTCCTTCGTGCAGTAGAACATCCTTCAATGTATGTATGTATTTTCCATCTTATATCTGTCCTAAAATACATGAATATAGAACAAAATACAGTAGAACATCCTTCAATGCATGTGTATTACCTATCTTATTTCTGTTCTAGAAAAAATAATGTAGAACGAAGTAACATGACTTAGAGACTCGTGGGTGAGGAGTACATCCTACTCCTCATCCACCATAATTTGGTTCAATTAGATCCTTCGCCCGAATGAACGCGGCCATAACAACAGTAGAATAGAAGAGGAAGAGAGGGAGAGGGAAGCAGGAAGGGAGAGGGAGGGAGGGAGGAAGTGAGAGAGAGAGAGAGAGAGAGAGAGAGAGAGAGAGAGAGAGAGAGAGAGAGAGAGAGAGAGAGAGAGAGAGAGAGAGAGAGAGAGAGAGAGAGAGAGACAGAGACAGAGAGATAGAGAGAGAGAGACAGACAGCCAGAGACAGAAAGACAGAGCAAAAGACAGACAAACAGAATAAAAGAGAGAAAAAAAGAAGAGAAAGATACAGGCATACACACCAGGGGAAAAATGAATTCAAGAGGACCTACTATTTTCTCATGGAAGCAAGCAGTTCCCCTTAAGCAGAAGCTCTCCCAGGACAAGCCTTTTTATGTCAACCTGTTACACACTGTGAATCATATACGTCGTGTTTGTGCTTTGAAATGCGAGGTTATTTTCGTCATTCCGTGTGGGTAAGAAAAATCACAATGTTTGAATTAAAAAGGAAGAAGGAAAAAAAAGTTAGATTGATTTCAACATAACTCTCGCAAGGAAGTAAAAAAAAAAAAAAAAAAAAGTTTGATTTATTTCATCATAACTCTCGCCCTGTTTTCCTGGATCACTTAGATTGTTTGTGTGACACGTGTTTACAATTAGACTAGATTTATAAAAAGAGAAAAAATATATAGTTACACTGACATAACCTCTACTCCGAGTTATTCTATGTTGCTTGTTCATTTTTCGTGCAGGACAGTCATTCTGGTCATTTATTTTTTCGTTGTCTCTTTTATATTCACACTGGCAGTTTCGCAAATATATTTTAGCACGCCATTCTTGCTTTTTATAATATGATTACAAAGGACACGTACACCGAAGCATAAACAAGCAGTCTGTATGTCGTGATAACAGTCTTTCTTCCTTAAACTAGTACTCCAAACTCACATGCACTATATAATATATACAAAGACACACACATATACAAAGACACACACACACACACACACACACACACACACACACACACACACACACACACACACACACACACACACACACACACACACACACACACACACACACACACACACACACACACACACACACATACACACACACATATAGGTATATATTCACTGATATGATAATATGACAATATATCTGCCTCTGTATATACAGTTAACACCAAAATAAATGTTATGCATTTCACCCCTCCAAAAATTACATAGCACCCCAAAGTACTGAGTTCTGTTACTATGAACAATACACATATTTCTTGTCACACATTTAAGTAACGTAGAAACTTCTATTTTTTTCTCGTGGCCGCAAAAGCATATTGGTCTGTAGATCCTGCGTGAAAGAGCACCACGCACACGTATAAAGTAATTGATATATTGATTTGAGGAGTAATAAGTATGTTCACCGGTCACAAATTCACTGTATGTTAACGAAATACTGTTTGATAAGTGAAAATTGTATAACGATGTTTTTTTTTATATATATTATTATTTTTTTTTTTCGTTTTTTTTCACAGATATTCAACTCGCCGAAATCACTTCATTTTCTTCATCTTTGGACAGATGAGGTGATTTGTTTTTTATTTATTTATTTGTTTATCTTCTTGTTCGGTTGTTTGTTTGTTTGTTTATTATCTGTGTTGCCTTTCAGGTCTGAATTATTTTCTAATTCATTTCACCATCAAATCGACTATTATACTTGGGATACTACATTTTCACCATACTGACCATTTGTCTTTGTTGTCCATATTTTTTCCAGTAAAAAAATAGGATCCTGGCGTTCGTTTCATTCACGTCACAGAACCGCACCGTCTGTATCCATCCCCGCGTAGGTTCCACCCCGCTATGAACACCCCGCTCGGCAATCCCCACCGACCCCCTTAGCTACACCACTGCGTCCGGCGCCACCGTCCTCGGAGCGCCACGGGCTCACCACCTCGTCGCGGTCGAGGGCTGCTTGTGGGGCGAGTCCCCTGTGTGTCTCCGCTGCCTCTCGACGGCCTCCGCGCGGCGAGGCGGCAGGGCGGGCGAGTTCGCCGGGCAGGGGAAGGGGAAGGCGGACTCCCCCCTCGCCCTCTCCCCCTCCCCCAGGCGCGACAGGTGACTCACGGCGCTGGCGACGACGAAGACGGGGTCGTCGTCGAGGTCGATGACGTGGTCGCCGCCGGGGCGAGGGACGTAGAGCTCCGGGAGGTCGCGGGGGCTCAGGGCCGGGTAGTCGTCGGCGCCCCTCGGCCGGCGCCCGTCGTGGGAGGGGCCCAGGTCGCTGAAGGGCGGGAGGTGCTCGTGGTCGTGGAGGTGATGCGGCTCGCGGTGGTCGCAGCGCTGGCCCCCGGGGGGGTGCTGGGGGCTGAGCTCCGCCGAGTCGCCGTTCTTCGGGGACTTGAACGTCTGGGTGCTCTGCGTGCGGTACTGCTTGGCGTCGAGGCCGTCCTGGGGGCAGCACCAGGAGTGGCGGCGCCCCGTGACCACGTTGGAGGGCGGGGAGCCCGAGGCCATGTCTGTGGGGCGGGAGGGGGGGGGGTTAGATCTGATGGGTATGGCGATGATTGCAATAGCTCAGTTACTCACTGTTGCGAAAAAATAAGAAAAAAAATAGTTATGCTGCGGATGATAAGGTAATGATCATAGTCACCATGCCGTCACAACAATAATAGAAAGGGCAATGCTTTTAACACAAATAACATAAATAACAGATACATCAAAGATACTACACGTAACAAGATCATTAACTTTAACAAAAAAAAAAACATCAACAATAATCATAATATTAACATCAAAACATCCACTCTCTCATCCCAGACAACTAACCAAACAAACAAACAAAACAAAATCAACAAAAGCCAAACAAACAAATTTCATACAAAAACATATTGCAAAAAAATCAACAAAAACAAGTCACATAAACAAATATCATACAAAAACATTTTACAATAAAAATAATAAAAACTAAACAAAATCAACAAAGGTCACACAAAAAATATTCATACAAAAAAAGATCTTACAGAGAAGCAACAAAAACAAGTCACACAAACAAAATTCTTACAAAAACATCTTAAAAAAAATAGAAAAACAAATCAACAAAAACAAGCCACACAAACAAATTTCTTACAAAAACATACTTTAAAAATAAACAAAACAAGCCACACAATCAAATTTCATCAAAAAAAAAAAAAAAAAAAAAAAAAACTCGAACCTTGGGCGTTCTGCGGGTGGTTGTGCGGGCGTGTGGCGGAGGCGGCGCGGGCGGAGGCGGAGGAGCAGATGCGGCGGACCCGGTGGGTGTGGCGGGCGGCGGACGTGGGCGTGACGACCCGGTACTGCTGCCTCGTGAACACCGGGATGGGCACGATGGCCAGGTTACCCGCCTCCTCGCGCCGCTCTGTTTTTTTTTTTTTTTTTTTTTTTTTGAGGGGGGGAGGGAGGAGGAAAAAATTGGTTAGTGTTTGTCTTTTTCTTTTTAGTTATGGAGGTATTGTGGAGTATTTTTTTTGGGGGGGGGGGGAGGTAAGGAGAAAAAATTGTTAGTGTTTGACGTTTTTCTTTTTAGTTATGGAGGTATTATGGAGTTTTTTTTTTTTGGGGGGGGGGAAGGGAAGGAGAAAAAATTGTTAGTGATTATCTTTTTTTCTTTTTTTTATGGCTATTTATGGAGGACGGAGGTAGAGTCGGAAAATGGGTTGGTGTGTGTGTGTGTGTGTGTGTGTGTGTGTGTGTGTGTGTGTGTGTGTGTGTGTGTGTGTGTGTGTGTGTGTGTGTGTGTGTGTGTGTGTGTGTGTGTGTGTGTGTGTGTGTGTGTGTGCATATATGGTAAAGGGCAAGAGGTGAAGAAAAGGAGAGAATATTCGAAAAATGGGCGGAAGGGGGGGAGGGGGGGTAGACTACGATACCAAGATCAGATTATTTGTGATTCATGTCATAAGGTCGATAATTGTGATAAGGGGAATAATAATTTTGGTGATGATTGATGATTGCAGTGATGATTGATGAGATTGAAATACAAGAAAATCAGAAATGTAAATCTTTCGTCGTTTCGAGTTAATAGCAATTTAACCCTTTGATAAACTAACAGTAACAACAATTAACAATAGCAATAAAGACAATAACAAGTATGCTACTACGAGTAATACGGATAATAATAGTAATGATAATGACTATAAGGATTATCATTATCATTAGGATATAATAAAATCCTTCTATCTATACATTCCAGATTATTTTATCTATTTTCCATCCATCTTCTGGCTTCTGTCTCTTCATTCCTTCATTTATTCATCCTTCACCCCCCCCCCCCGCCTCCCTTAAAAAGAAGAAAGAAAGAAAATAACAAAAAATATAAAGACACTGATAAAAGGTCAACCAAAACGTCCCTCTTCTATCTTTTCCCCTTTTCTCCAAAAGAAAAAGAAAGAAATAATATATAGTAAATAAACAAATGCACAATAAATAAAAAAAAACCCATTGAGACTAATAAACCAGCAATACCTTCATAAAACCCACTCCAACCTCCCCTCCCCCTTCAAAAAAAAATCTCCCTCCCCACCCCCCACCCCACAAAAAAAACATAATAATAATAAATAATAATAATAATAATAATAATGATAATAATAATAATAATAATAATAATAATAATAATAATAATAATAATAATAATAATAATATAATAATAATAATAAAATAATAATAAATAATAATAAATAAATAAATAAAATAAAATAATAATAATAATAACAATAAATAATGATAATAATAGATGAATAAATAAATAAATAAAGAAAAGTAAAAAGGAGTCCCCAAGTGTCCTCCGGAGTCCAGCCAGTCCGGCCGCCAACTCACCGTGATACGTCAGGTTGCAGTTGCCAGTCCCGGAGTCGCTACAGAGTGTCGAGGGCGTGTTGTTGGATCCCGTCCCGGAGTCCTTGAAGACCTCCACCACATCCTTGACGTGAGGTCGTCTCCCTGGCTGGTCTTGGAGGGCGGGGGGCGGGGGGAGGGAGATGCACCCCCTCCCGCTGGGGTCCTCCTCCACCACCACCACCACGTCCTCGACAGCTGGGTGGATACAGGCGCGTGGGGTTGTTAGTTGGGCGTGTGGGTTGGGGGTGGGCTTGGGGGACAGGGTTGTGCTTTGTGGTGTTGTCATTATCATCATTGTTGTAAAAATGGGTTGGCTTTTTTTTATTCATTTATTTATCTATTAGTATTTTTTAGTGCAGTTGCGGTTTTTCATTTTCTCCTAATTACAAAATTGGTTTGGTTGTTGTTTGTGTCGTCCGATGATTTAAAGGTCATATCAAGTCTCTCTCTCTCTCTCTCTCTCTCTCTCTCTCTCTCTCTCTTCTCCTTCTCTCCCTCTCCCTCTCCTCTCCCCTCCTCCTTCTCCCCTCTCCCCTCTCCCCTCCCCCTCCCCCTCCCTCTCCCTCTCTCTCCCTCCTCTCTCCTTCTTTCTTCTTTTCCCTCCATCCCACCCTCCCTTCCTCTCACTCTCCCCCTCCACCCCCCCCCTTCCCCTCCATCCCACCCTCCCTCCTTACCTTCCTCATTCCCTCCCTCTCTCTCTCTCCTCTTCCCTCCCTCTCTCTTCCATTTTTCATTACCTTCTCCTTGACAGCTCAGTCATGACCCCCCCCCCCTCCCACCTCTTCCCCTTCCTTTGTCCGTCCATCAAAGTCTTCCCTAATTCACCAGAAGCAATTGCAGCCTGAAAATCTTCTGTAGCATTTATACATTCACTTTTTTTTTTTTTTTTTTTTTTTTTTTTTTTTTTTTTTTTTTTTTTTTTTTTTGCTTTGCTTGCATGTTACTGTGCGTGCTTGTAGGAATGCCCATCCGGAATGAAAGAATGCTTGATTGCTTCGTAAATTGTTTGCTTGGTTCGACCGACTGACTTTCTCGTTAACCGATTATTTTTCCCTTGTTTGCTGACTGCTTATCCGGCCTTCACGAGTGCTGTCTGTTGGCTTCCTTTATTTTGGTTATGTCTCTATCTATCTATTTGTCTTACTTATATTTTCTTACTTTTTTTCCTCTCTCTCTTCTCTCTCTTCTCTCTCTGCTTCTCTCCTCTTCGTCTGTATATGTATGTATATATATATATATATATATATATATATATATATATATATTATATATAATATATATATATATATATTAGGAGAGAGACAGACATATATATAGTGTGAAGACAGACAAGACAGAGACAGAGCAGACAGGACACAGAGGTAGAGAGAAAGGGACAGATACAGCGCGATAAAAAAAAAAAAAAAAAAAAACTAATACTCAAAAAAATCTGCATTCTTTTTTTTTCTCCACTTTACCAGAAAAAAATAATGACTTGGAAATGACATGTTCTGCGTATTCGCGGGTCGTCGTCACTCACATATCGATAATTAGAAGGGGCCTCCGAAATGTGGAAGAACAAAACCAGTCTGTTCTCGTTCTTCACATAACCTCATGGCATCCACGCACGAAGAACGGATATAATGGTCCGATTATAAACTCAGTTCTCTCTCTCTTCTCTCTCTTTTTCTCCTTTTTCTCTTCTCTCTTCTTTTCTTTCTTTCTTTTTCTCTCTCTTTCTCTCTCTCTCTCTCTCTCTCTGCTCTCTCTCTCTCTCTCTCTCTCTCTCTCTCTCTCTTCCTCTCTCTCCTCTCTCTCTCTCTCTCCTCTCTCTCTCTCTCTCTCTCTCTCTCTTCTCTCTCTCTCTCTCTCTCTCTCTCTCTCTCTCTCTCTCTCCTCTCTCTCTCTCTCTCTCTTCCTCTCTCTCTTCTTTTTTTTATTTATTCTATTTTTTTTGCTAACGCCAAATTAGTACTTGTTGCTATCTATATTGAAATGAATCTACAAGAGCATTTTCCTCAACGCAAGTGGAGAGATAGAGACAGATAAAAGTGAAATATAAGAGGTCATGATGTTTGATAATAAGTGGTTATTATTTGATAGAGAAGAACAATGACGTAGAGAAGAAAAGGAGAAGGAGAAGTAGAGGAGAGAGGAAAATGAGGAGAAGAGGAGGAGAAGGAAAGAGGAGAAGGTGAAGAGAGGAGGAGAAAGAGGAAAATGAGGAAGAGTGAGGAGAGGAGGACGGAGGGAAGAGAGGAGAGGAGGAAATTGGAGGAAGAAGAAAAGGGAGGAGGAAAGGAAGTAAGGAAGAACGAGGAGAAGGAAGAAAAGGAGAATGGGGAAGAGGAGGAGGAAGAAGGAGAATATGAGTAGTAATAATAATAATAATAAGAGAGAAAATAATAATAAGAAGGAGGAAGAAAAAAAGAAGAAAAAAAGTAAAAACAAAAATAATAGAACAAGAAAAGAAAAAGCGAAATGAAAGACGTTATAAAGAAAGACAAAAAAAAAAATAAAAAAAGACAGACACCGACTCCCACACAACCCCTTGTTGAAAGCAATGTTGCAATAGCACGGAAAAAATAGGCCTAGAATATTTTCCTTGCACAGATGACTCCGCCTTTGAGACCATGAAAGTAGTTCTTCAAATAATTCTCAAAAAGAAAGAAAAAAAGAAGGAAAGAAAGGAGTTTTAAAAAAAAAAAAAAAAAATAATAATAATAAATAAAATAAGAATAAGAACAATAAAAAAGAAGAAAAAATAATAATGGTATCTTTACGATCTAACATCTGACGTAAGCCAAAAGAAAAAAAAAAAAAAGATGAAATAGCAAAATTTTGGAGTTTGTATATCCTGAAACGGTGAATAACATATACAGATGAAGATAAAATGTAGTTTATAAATCTCTAAATAATTAGAATTTCCTTCGTCTCACCTTTTGCTAATTTTATGCAAATTAACTGCCGCATGTCTTTCCGTGTGTCTGATTCCGTTTTGTGCATGACAACCCTTTTTTACACATGGTTTCAAAGTTTAGTGAATGAGAGCGAGAAGGAAAATATATATATACATAAATATGATGGAGTGGGTGCAAATAGATGAATAAAAGTGATAAACAAAAGGAAAGGGAAATGAAGAAAGAGAAGAGAGAAGAGAGAGAGAGAGAGAGAGAGAGAGAGAGAGAGAGAGAGAGAGAGAGAGAGAGAGAGAGAAGAGATGAGAAAGAGAGAGACAGATAAATCATAATACCATCCACAAACTTCCCTCCTCACCCCCCTACCACCCGGTCCACCACCACCCCCAGGAAACCCCAACCCCCAACCCCCCACCACCAACCCCCTTAAAAAAAAAAAAAAAAAAAAAAAAAAAAAAAAAAAAAAAAAAAAACAGAAACCCCTCACAAAAACTCACCTTGAAACGGACTCTTGTACTCGATCTTCTTCTCGGCGTGGGTCAAGGTCCTCGACACCTTCCTGCGCGACCCCCCGCCCACTTGCAAGACGCTGGAGCTCTCCCTCCGAAGAAGCCACGACCTTCCGAGCAGAGGCAGACGAACCCATCGCCACACGCGCCCGAGGAGAAGAGCTGGTGGGGGAGAGAGAGAGGGGGAGAGGGGGGATTAGTGAGAGGAGAGAGTGAGGGGGAGAGGGGAAAGGTGGGGGAGGGAGAAGGGAGGGAAGGTAATTAAAGTGGGGAGGTGCAGTTGTGAGAGGAGAGGGGTTATGAGAGGGAAAGGTGGGAAGAGGAAGCGAGGAGGAAGGGTGAGAAAGGTGGAGGATGAGGGGAAGGGGGAATTAGTAGGGGGAGAGTGAGGAGGGAGAGGGGGAGGAGGAGAATGAGAGGGGAAGGTGAGAGGAGAGGAGGAAGGGGGATTAGTGAGAGAGGAGAGGCGTGGGGAAGGGGCGCTTGAAAAAGTGGAGGGGGAAGGTGAGGGGAAGAGAGAAGAAGGGGGTTAGTGAGGAGGGAGAGGGTTGAGGCATGATGTGGGAAGGGGAGGAATGAGGACGGAGGAATTAAAGTGAGGGAAAAGGTGGAGGGAGTGAATGAGGGGAAAAGGTGGAGAGGGGGAAGAGGTGTGAGAGAAAGAGGGGGAAGGAGGAACGAGAGGGGAATTAAT